AAAGTGTTGGATTCATTTTAGCACAACAATCAAATTATTTCTCAGGAAATGGGAAAAAATGTGTCCAAATATTGCACCTGATTTTAAAACATACAACTTTAATATATCTTAACACTTCAATAATCCAAAATATACCAAAACATAATCAAAATACAATTGTGCTTATACTTAAATATAAAAAGAGAGATCAAAATGTTATTATTAACTTAAACTAACTGTCTTTAATTTGAAAGAAATTGTAATTATTATTTCAAGTATATGTCGAAATTCCGTCTAAACTTCACCATTTTTAATAGGTACTACACATTTAAATAACATAACTACATTATGTAGTTATGTTACTAACATAACTAACAAATACATTTGTATTTGTATTATTTATTATTTGTGTTTAATAACAATTATTCCTATGTTATCCTTAACCTTGTTAATTTTAAAATTCTATAAATTAATTGCTTTTAATTTATTTATATTTATCAAGCAATTTAAACGTAATATAAAAATAACAATGTTTCTGAATATTAAATGATTATTTTTTCATTCATGAAGACAATTATTTATCTAATTTTACAAATTAAAGTTTATTTATATTTATTATCATTAATATGTTACTGTAGGCGGAAAAAAAGCCCACGGGACAAAGTCCGAGAAATATAAATATAAATATAAATGTGAACACATGTGTACTCTACTTCTAATTAGTAATTACCATGTACCTTTGACAAAATATTATAATATATTATAATGAAAATAATAATTAATTGTTAATTGTATAAATTATGGATTGTAAATAAAACAAAAATATAAATATGAACACTATATTATGTATACTTTGTGATATATTGTGTTATAAGTTAAACATCAAAAAACATAAGTCTTAGGTATAGACATACTAAAATATTATCTATTATTTAAATATATTATAGTACCACCTGTTTTGTATTAACTTATTATATTATTATTTATATAGTTGTGTAATTTTTGTATACATTTTAGTTTTTTTATACCTCTAAGACTTATGTTTTTGACTTATAACTTATAGTACCTAGTATAACACAATATATCATGACATATACATAATATTGTATTCATATTTATATTTCTGGGTTTTTTTTATCCTTAGTGTGTTTATTTTTTTGGGTTTTTTTCTGGGCTTTTTTTCAGTGGACTTTTTTCTGTGGGCTTTTTTCCTCGATTTATACTTTACAGTTTTCAATTAATGATAGTAGTGCTAACAATTTGTATTTGAAAATAAATAAAATATGGATTAGAAATACATTAATTGGACAATATTATACTAAACTGAATAAATGTCAAATTAAATGCTAATGACTAAATTTAACGAGATTAGTATTATATACTAAGAATGTAGCATTGGTATATTAAACGGTAAATTAAAAATAATTCAATTTTAAAATTATTTGTTATTATAATAAAAAAAACCTTATTAATATATAATATTTATCTTAATCGGTGCAGGATAGTTATATTATATTATTATAAATTTGAACATATCAGCACATTCTGATAACACTTCTGAATGGAATTAATTTATACAACGAGATCACTTTTATTTTCTGGTGGTAAGAAAGTATTTTCAACTTATATCCAAAAATTAACTCTTAAGTCAAATGTTAGTTAAATTTCCAATCAATACATCATCATTTATAAAAAAAATTGAACTATTATAATTAGATACACAAATGTGTGATTAGAATAGTTTGATCATAAACTTTTTATTTGATATCGATATTGTTATTTTATTGTGGTGATGATTAAAGAAAATTTGTTTTTATTAATTGTACATCAATTTTCTTACCAATTGTATATTTTTATTTTTATTAATTTTTTTGGTGGCGGAACAGGTACAAGTTTACTTTACCTACATATATATACATATACATATATATATTTAATTTAAATGAGTAAATGCCTGTATTTTCATAATTATTATGTTACAGTCTTTTCTATTAATTTAATTAATATTTTTCAGAGGCCAAATTTGCTGTGATGAGTCATGACGGGTTTTTTAAATGCCCTCGAGATAATTGTGGTAAGAGATATAAATACAAACCAGGATTGTACAGACATTTAAGATATGAGTGTCAGAAAACTAGACAATTTTTTTGTTACATATGTTTGAAGAGATTTTATCAAAAGGTCCATTTACAGTCACATATGGTTGCGAGACATCTCAGCTCAGATTTTAGTATTACACTGTAATCACTATAAAAACATAATTTTATGATTGTTAAAAAGCTTATACCAAAATTATTATATTATTTGTTGATCATTTCTAATTTATTATTGGGATATTTTTGGGTTATTGTGTTGATTATATAATTAAAATATTTTTTAATTTTTTAAATTTATTCTTATGCCTGTTTTTTTACTTTTGCAAAGTTTAATTATAATGTTATTTTACTAGTAAAAAATGTTCATGTAATTTTTAGAATAAGAAGCACAATATAATACAATTTATACTTATTTATTTATCCATACTTATTTATAATTTACATTGCCAGCTTAGGGTATTTTTGATTTCTATACTCTAATTTTTAGTTTTGTAATTTTACGTTATGCATTTTTGTGTACCTTCATATATCTGATTCTTTTACACCAATGACTATACATTTGAATTAATTTCAGTTTAATTTACTGTAGTAGTTTTATAAGAAACACTGTACGTAATATTGGTTGAATTATACCGTGTGATTTTATTTATTAGTATTGTCATGTTTTGGATGTAGGTAGTTAACGAACAGCATTTAGAGTTCTTGGTGTTTTGTTTGTGACTTGTAGTTTTTGTTTACAGCTAGTTGTCTTCATAATCCATATTTTTGTACAATTTGCGGCAAGCGGTATAAACATATGGCGAGCTTACGATCACATGTAAAATTTGAGTGTGGAAAAGAACCTCAATTCTCTTGTGCCATGTGTTCAAGAAAATTTTCAATCAAGAGTAATTGCAGGCGACATGAAGTGCTTGTTCATAACTATAGTCTTTCTTTAAATTCGACTGATTATAAGTAATTAAAAAAATAAAAACCATTGGATACAAAACAATATAATATAAATAATAATTTATTTTAAATTAAATACATTTTTTCTTCAATTCATGTTTTTAATTTAAAATATAATACATGTATCTAATAATATAACAAAGCAATGTTAACATTCAAATTTGTTAGGAAATATTTTATTAGATGTTAGGAGGATTGTGTAGGGGACATTTAACTATCTATTTGTTTTGTGGTTGATCTAAATAGTTTGTCAATTAAATGTTATGATTTGATGAGACAGTTAAAATTGCTTATTATTTTAAATAATTCAAAGTAAATTTTATTGGTATTATGAAAAATATATTTTTGGTGATCATATTTTTCTGTATTGAATTTATTTAAATTTGAAATACAATTTATTTATTTTAATTTAATTTTAAATATTTTGTAAGTAACATTGATTTACAGTGGTTATTTGTATTGAATTTACTCACTAATAATGTTTATTTAAAATGTTAACAATAAATGTTATTAAATTAAAATAAATAAAATATGTTATTATGATTTTTTTTAACCATATCACACATGAATAACAGTTCCGACGTGTACCCTTGCGGCCTTGACAGTTCAAATCTCGACCATGGGCGGCTCTTCTCTCCAGGCAGGCAACTGTCTAGACTCTAGACAGTGAGGCTACCATCCCCCGACCGAGCATGGGAGAAACCTACGGGTGCCCAATTTGAAATTTTGCCAAACCTAAGAACACAGGTGTTTCAACCAACTGTTCCAACCTTTCTTCCCCTCTAAAAAAAAAAAGCTAATGGCCCATATTATGATAAATGCAAAATATATGGTAAATAATAAACTAGTAGAAGATACATTGTTTTTTGTATATTATATTGAAAATGTTGCCTATATATATGTGATCAATGATCATAGACACATTTTGTATATGGTACCAGTGTGCTAGTGTTCTGTTTTGTAAAGTGTAGGGCAAACAGTAGTTCAAGATCTGTAGCAATAACATTTTAATTTTAAATCCAGTATGTAACAAATTGTAAGCATAAGTATCTTATCAAAACTAGTAGCCCTATGAATATTTATCTATTTCTATCCTCTCATTTCTCAAACAAAAATAATTAAGTCGCTACAATTTAAAAGTGATTATAGTATAAAAATGTATACTATATATACACCCAAGTAATTTGACTAATGTCTGTAATTGTGTAAAATAATATACCTGTTTATATAAATAAATTACAGGGTATTTTCAAATTGTATTTATAGTTAGTCTTTATTTTATTTTTCAAGATCGAACTGTTTTCATCTATAATACAGTTGAAAAAATGTAAAATATTACAACTATGTATTTTTATATTCTTATGTACTTAAAATTCAAATATCTACATGTTTATGGTAGGTACATAGATTTTATTATTTTGTAAATTATAGAATGTATACTTTTCTATTAATTTGTATTTTAATGTTATACAATTATATACATTTTTTAAATACTAAATAATAATATTAGTGTAACGTTAGATTATAGAAGAGTGAATGGTTGTATAAATATGAGAATGATAGAATTAAATGGACTTTTTTTAATTTAATTAATGATCCACGTACCATAAAATAATATATTTTTTTTTAATCTTAAAAAATTATTTATAAAATAGTCTTCTAATAAGGCTATTTGAGATGTTTATTGAATTTGTTGTTTTATGCTATTATGCTGTTAATTTTTTATACATATTTTGTATCTCAGAAGATTTATCTTCTACCTATATGAATACGATTAAGTTATACAAAGACACATTCAATTTAGGGTTTGTTTCATTCATTCAGACTCTTTGACAGTTAGCTTCAACAGTGCTATGCTTGTAACTAACATCAATAACAAACCAATTTGTTCTGCAGTTTAACAAAATATATATTGTCTTTTAATAGTAACAGGTGCTTGAGTACCGTCCATGTATTTTTTTTTTTTTTTGATTGCTCATGTCACAGGTATCCCTTTGTGTTATCGTGTTCTCAGGTAGTCTCCGATGGCAAATGGTTAACAAACAGTTGAAAGAAACAGGCTCTGATGGGCGAATCACCTGTCCAAAAAATTGTGGCAGTCACTATAAAAGTAAAAGTGGTTTGTACAATCATCTCAAATATGAGTGCGGCATCGATCCGCAGTTCAAGTGCAATTATTGTGGAAAAAGCTTTGCTCGTCATAGTAATATGCGAAGACACATGCTTGTCCACCTACCAGGTTCTGTGAAAAAGGAGGCTGAAGATGATAATTGCAATCCTTTATGGTTTTACAACACTGACTCTCAATAATCCTAATTCAGGCAAATTACTTTAAATTGTGTTATAATAGACAGGATTTACAAGTTTTGAAACATGCATTTACACACCAAAAATTATAATTTTTATACAAATGTGGCATTTTTTTGAGAAAACTAATTATTAACTAGTCTAATTGTTAATGATTACTTAACAAATAAAAATTAATGTTAAAAATTTTGAAATATTAATGGACTTAAACAAAGTATTCAGTCGACAATAAAATTATTAAATATACCCTGCATTAATATATAAATATTGAAAGGTGAACAATTTGTGTTTTTATTAATTATATTGAAAAAAATAGCAGAAAAATATGAAACTACAAAATATTAAAACCATTAAAAATTGTTTTTTAATTATATAGAAATGCACAAACAATAATTTTAATTATTTATTATATATTGTTTTTGACTTAAATTAAAATATATAAAGTTTATTGTCAAGGCTTCTCAAAACAATTTCACTAATTTATTTTCCATTTAGAATTTCAATTGTTATGTCGTAATTATGTACTTTAGATGTCTTTTAGATGTCTTTCAGTAAATTGCATTTCAGAACAATTTATACACTTTTTATTATTTTATCAAAAAAATACAAGAACATTGTACAATAATTGATATTGAATTTATTCAAATTTTAAATTTTTCTGTTACAGATTTTTTTTGCATATGTATGATTATGTTTATATGTTCAGTTTACATGTTTATCAGTTTACATGTTTAACTATTTTATTTTTCCTTTATTTGTGCAATGTAGTACTTGAATGTTATGGTATAGTTTTTTTGTTGTTATTATTTTGAGTCATTATAAAAATTAGAAGAAAAAAAATTTTTTTATTGTTATTGTTTTTACTTTAGATATTATTATTATTATTATTATTAATATTTTTACTATTGTTAATATCTGATTGAAATATTTTATTTATTTGTTAAATCAGTATATTATATTATTTTTTTCACCTAACCGATTGTTATCTTAATTATATCAATGATTATAATATATAAATGTTATTCATTGTTCATTTTTAATTGTTAAAACTATTGTTATATAAAGTAACTCAATAATAATTATGTACTATTTTAACATTTTAAAATATTTTTTAATAACAATTTTGGGTAATTTCTCATGAACATTTATGAAAGTATTTTTATTTGATGAATATTACCTAAACATTTTTTCATATTAATAATTAATTATTAAAAATTTATAAATATGAATGATGTTTAATAAGTAGGAATGGTAATAACTTTTAAATTATTGAAATGAAATTTCTTTACTGAGGGTATGAAAAAAAAAACCCTCATGGTTGGCATCACGGTTAATCATCATGACATGTTAGATATAGGTTCGACAGTCAAGGAAACCAGTTTTTTTGCATTTTTTTTTTATATAATCAAAACAGACCATAGAAATGTGACAGCTTGCAATGATACCTACCTGACGGGTTTTTTTTGTACCCTCTGTAAAGAATTTTTACTTCATCAGAGGTTAATTGCAATACGCACTTTTTTTATTTTTTGTAACTTTTGATATTCATAGATAGTTCAATATTTTAAATTAAATTCATGTTGATAATTAAATTCATAGCACTATGAATGTTGAATAGAAAGTAATAACCCAACTAATATATTATTTTTAGAAAAATAATGCAATATAAATGTAAATAACAAAATCATAAATTATATTCTGAGAGTAATGAGATAGTAAGTCACCTCGTTATGTTAGCTATAAGTAATTCCCAACTAATACAAACATTTTGGGGAGCTTTTCCTTCTTATTGAGTTGGCTTTAAGGTTATATTCCTTTCTTAGTTTTTGAGGAAAATTTTATGAGGCGAAGAGCCACCAATATTCTTTATTGCACCTATAAAGCATAAGCATAAGTGGCCACATTTGATGTAAAGTTAGTGAATTTTAATAATTTATGTTATTAGGCCCGTGGTGAACAAAACCAAATAACTGGTAAACTTAATTTATTGGATTTGGGAGTTGACCAACAAAAACATGAACTAAAACTTAGATAGTGCTTAGGTGAAGTTTCATGCTAGTCTTCAGACACCAAATTGGGTTGATAATCCTAACTCAATGATGATAAAAATGTAGAATATGAGCTAATAAAAATGTATGTAAAAAAATTATTGTTAGCTATTTATAATTTGTATGATATAAAGGGTAGGCCAATGTGTTTTCTTTTTTGTGTGTTATTGGAACTGTGCAAATTGATTGATTGTCTAAAAGGAAGAGTTTAAATTGGATAATGATTGATGATGGCCAAAGGGCCTTATTTTGCATGTAATTAGTGATATGTCTGGTAGTATAATAGGAAATTTAATAGCTTGAAGAATAAAGAGAAACTTTTATGGGTTGGTTGTTTTAGTTCTATATTATTCTAAATTTGAAAGTAGTGTAAAATGAATTCATTCGAATTGCATACCTATGTTAACATTTTTTGATGTTTTCCTTTGGTTTTATAAATTATATATTTTTATATGTTAATCCGTAATCGAGGTATACAATAAAATATAAATTGAAACATTGCCATAAGACATATTAAGCTGTTAAAATAATTTAAAATTGTTATTCCCATATAGTTATATAAAGATAAATTATTCTAGTTATTTTACTGTAGTGTTTAAATTTTACACTTTTTTGGTATAACAATTATGTAGTTAAGATTATGTTTTTGTTTTAATATAATATAATATAATTTATATTTCAAGGTAAACAACAATTTAATGTTTTCTATGATAATTTAGGTAATTGATTGTAAATCCTTTAAATTATATTATATTTTTCAGGTGCCTTATGTTTTTCATGTACAAAAAGTAACTGTAACAAAGTTTACAAATCCAGAAATGCACTCTACACTCATCAGAAATATGAATGTGGGGTAAAACCAATGTTTAGGTGTACATTATGTATGAAATCTTTTAAGCAACCAGGAAGTTATAAGTGTCATATGATATCTAAACATAAGCAACTAGTTTAGACAATATAATGTAGTAGCTGGTAACTATATTTTAACACATCATGCATTAACATTTTAAAAAGTTTGTATTTTTATTCTAAATTATAATATTAATTCATTCATTTTTATTTATAAATAATATAAAGTATAAGTGTAATTTATACGGTATATACCTTTACAATATAATAACCTAATATATTTGTATATTTGTATTATTTCATAGTATTTAATCATTATTGTAATTACAACTTCATATTAATTATGTACATGATATACTGATGTATTTTATATTTTTATCCATTTGCATATTTTAAACGATGTCAAATCGCTTTATATGTTATTACTATTACAAATTTATTTTAGATAGTTGTAGTATACTACAGTTAAAATATATTTTTTTTAGTTTCATAATATTATTTAACTTGATTTCTTGAAATACACTATTAATTGAAAATTTTTTTAATTAATTGCTTTTGCTTACTTTTGTGACCATACATGAAGAAAATAATTTCAAATCAAAGTATGAAATAATGTGATTATTTTTCTGATTTTTATATAGGTATAATACAAATTGTGACTAAAACAAATATTCACCGGTGTCCAAATGAAAAGTGCGGTAGAAAATTTAAAATGCAGCGATCTTTAGGTGCTCATCTAAAATATGAATGTGGACTCGAACCTCAATATCATTGTGTTTTGTGTAATAAGAGCTTTAAACAAAAGTTCACCTATAAGACTCATATGATTAATGTACATCAAAGATCTATACTTAACTAACTAAACAGTTATTTTTAATTTACTTTGTATTTTTTTTTATACTATTATACAAATAATTGTCTATACATGGTTATTTTATCTATATGTATCTAATATACAATGATTTTAGTTATTAAAGTTATTATACTTCGGTCACTGAGAGTGCACTTCTGGGCGCCGACCTAAACTCGTCCGTTCTTGCGAATTCCCACCACTAAACCTGCATGAACGCTGGCCGCTGTTGCTGTGAGTGAGGGATTTTATAGTAGCAAGTAGGTAGTAGACTGGGAGAAATGTTGGTACAAAACCCCAGTTCATTGTTCATTTTGATGCGCCAAAGAGTACCGCTCTCCAGATAGCCGAAGTATAATGATTAGTGTAAATAAAGTTTTACTAATGGATACATAGAGAACCTTAAAAAAAAAGGTCTAATTTAAAATTTCTGATGAAAAAAATAACTGCGTTATCTATGATAAAATACATTTTTTATTATTATTGTTAGTTTTTACCATTTTTTTTATGTGTAATGTTAAGTTATACTAATATAATAAAATATTTTTCTTTTAAGTATCTAATTCTATAGTTTAAATAAATCAGATCATTTCATTAAACAATTATACTAGTTAAGTTAAAGAAAAAATGTATTTACCTTCCATTCAAAAACAAATAGTTAACAAATAAAATAAGCCGTGTACAATGCTCATGTAAGTTTTTGTTTATGTTGTGTTCCTACTAAGTTTTTACTGTGTGTATATTTATTTATGTATTCACCCAATTTTTATTCCTTCCGCACGTTACATGTATACATATTATAACTTAAAAATGTACATAACTATTTGAATAATTAATGGAAATAAATAATCTTAGATTATTAGGTAACTCAACAATTAGAGATTAGCATCAAATTTTGGTATTGACAATCTATTTTATCTGACTACCTTTAATGTATTCTGGAATAATAAGTTAATTCAATTTTTTTTTATCATAGCAAATAATTCCAACTCTTTCAAGATTAGTACAATCTTACTATCGAAATGGAGATATCTTTTTCTTTGAGTGAACATTTATAAATTAAGTACATTTAAGAAAAAAATATATACTCACAAAACTTTTTAAAATTTAGGTAATAGAGTATAGAATTTATTTTATATTTCATTATGTGCTATTAATGAATAGTCTCTTCAACAAGTCAACCATGTCCAATTACCAATATATTATCATTATCTCCATTGTACTTATTGTAAATATTTTTTTTATACAGATTGTAC